TGCTCTAAGACCACCATTATGCCCACTAGAGCCCTTCTTCTGACAGGCCTGTTAGCACTCAGACCACAGGATGGGTGGATTAAACATTAACATGTGGTCTGCTCTCTCTCTCTCTCACACACTGAATGGTCATAGAAACTCATAGGAAAAGCTGGATGTCATATTGTCAGGGACCAAAGTTGCATGGAAGACAAGGAAGGTAGGGCAGTAGTGTTTTTACTTACTGAAGTTGTTATTGGGTTTCAGTAGTCTTTGAAAAAACACATTTTATAGACTGGTAGCCCGACTGCAGACAAATAGTACGTGAAGAACTTATCTCTCCTCTGTCGACGCTCATTGCCGAGGTATGTACCCCTGTACTTGGAAGGACTACAATGTTTTCTTCAGTAATGCTTTTTTCTCCACGCCTTGGATAGACAAGCCCATACACACCTCTAATGTGCTGGTCCGCTGCCAGCTTTGTCTGTGTTTTCTTATCATCGCACTCTTTGCTGTTTGTTGTCCTCACCGATGATGGATCCGGAAAGCATAGAGCTTTATTGGATACCCTGGAGTCAATAGTTAGTCATGGAGGTGCCACAGGATCGGATTACATGAAGTGCACTACTTCTTGAGTGACTGATATCACTACTGAGACAGTGCAAGTGATTTACACATCATTTTCGCGACGAGCTCAGACGGCTGTGTTGACCAACTTGGTTTCTGTTCTAAGAGTTTTCCAAGTTGGTGGAGTAAGAGGCTGTCTACATGCCTGGGTCTCATTCATCCGCGTGTTTATTCGCCTCAGCCGGAGCTTACTGGCAGCTTCATGGCCTGTCTGTCTATGGGTCTTCACTGCGATGGATGAGCGTAACATGGGGGGCTGGCTGAACATGCTAAGCAAACCATCGGACAGTATGGATTACTTGTGCTCCACTCGTACATCCGGCCCTGTGATCACTGGCACAGACTTGCCAACATGTAGGTCTGTAATGGGATTTATCGATTTCGATGATGAGAGGTTGAATTCCAGTGGTAGTAGCTGTCTTCACATGCCTGCTGCCCGCCGTTGATTTCAAAGTCTGTGCATCGCCCCCCCCCCCCCTCTGCCCTTTTGGACCCTAACTCCAACCCTAACCCACACAAACACATGTGGCCTTGCTCATCTTCCTCAGTGTGTACAGTGCCCTCAGCAGGCTTGGGTGAGTGAGCACAAGAGAGGTCTTGACCTAAAAGACAAAGGCTCGCTGTTACCGTAGGAACCGCTGTTTTCTCTCTCTCTCTCTGTGCCTCACTTGCTAAAGTCTGCCTTGCACGTCGCTGATAAAGACCCTGTAATGTAGCGTAACTGACATTCCTCTCCACCCCACCATGTCTCTCTCTGTCTCAGTCCTCAAGGCCTCTGCGGTCTGCAGCTAAGCAGATTTAGTATGTGTTGTCATGTTGTTGTATGTTGATGGCAACGCAAGGTTTATTTTGTTCGACTTCATAGCTGCTGGAAGTTGGTCATGAGTTCAGAAAAGGACTTGTGTCATGTATGTAGTTTGAGTAGAAAGTTATGCATACAAAAAAAAAGTTTTTGGATAGTTTCTAAGTCTAAATGTGTCTAATTTTACCACTAGCTAATAATTTCTCGAAGGTTCATGAAGGTTAGTCAAGCTGTAGCCAAGAAGCTTCTTTATTTTCCCCTCGAAGCGATACTATGATGAGACAGTGCTGAGTGAAGTGAGTGTATGAAACAGGATGTCCTCTAAAGGAAGACCTGCGGGTCAGGAGCTAGAGGCTGAATGCTAAAGAGGTTTGCTTTATCCTAGGAGAGCCAACACTGCCTCCATTCAGAATTCCAAGTGTATTGAAGAGTGAGTAGCTCAGTAAAGCGGCCCGCTCACATGCCAGGTCTCTTTTCTGTGAAGTAAGAATCTTCAGGTCCTTAACTGTTAGATTCAGTTTAGTTCCTGTGGGCTTTATTCATTGCATTGCATTCTGGACTGTATTAAAGCTGAAAATGTTGACTGTTTCACTAAAAATGCTGCCATGTTTATCACTTGCTGTATTGTGTTTCGTAAAACATTGGGATGTCGTGTTTCCAAAACTCCTAACCTCCATGTGGCATAACAGGCATGTTACCATGAAGTTCCCTTTTTAATATGCAAAAGTTGAAATGTGCTGTGACATTTGTTTTCAGTGCAGGAACAGACTTTTTTTTCCACCTCTGCCCAAAGTCAGATTTGTATTCGACAATGTGCTCTAAAGATTGGCTTACTTCTTATCGATATCCATTACCATCGGGTGTTAATTTTGTGCTGTTGTTGTTATTTGTTAAAGTTTCAGTTATGTTACGGATCTGCTTTAGTCATGCTAGTCCCCTACAAGCCTGGAAGCAGTAGGGACCTCTCCATGGTTCTTCCATTTTTCCCTCCTATTTGAAGTTTTAAAATTTTCAAGGAGAAATTACTTTTGTTGTTATTAAATGCGCTTTGTACGAGATTGGGAGAATCTCTATTGCCTCTCAGCGGTTCTCAACATGGTGACGGTTGAGCCGACAGCATGCAGCTATGGGTGCTAACAGCGCTAACATTGCAAACTATGGCAAAAGTGCTAAAATAATTTATAGTGTTTACCTGAGGGGGAACCTAGGCTGGAAGCTCTTCTTCTGCGACGACGCCTTGTGCAGAGGCGGTGAACTAGCCAGTGGAGCACGTTCACGAACATGCACTAAAAGACTTGCATGGCGAGTCTGGCTATACCAGCAAAGCAAGAGGAAGCTCTGATTGACACACACACACAGGGAGAGTGATCATTCTCTGCTCAGATAGACATTACTCCACTATATCTTTCCATAGCAAATAGTTTGCTGCTATGTTAATGCTCTGAATCTCGTATTGCACCTTTAACAGCCACTTCACACATAGAATCACGTTTACTTCATCTAGTTTGTTTGCCTTCTACACTCGGAAGTATGCAAATGACCTATACATTCCATTGCTCCTTCAATGGAATACCGATAATGTCTGTCATTAGATCTTTAAAATAGACTCACAGGGAGCACTGGGGGCAGAAACGTTTTAAGCATGTGACAAACAGCCTGCAGTAAATTGCACTGTACAGGGGTGAGATAAGGGATACATCTAAGGGATAAAGTGAAGGCTGCCAGTAGTAAAGCTGTGAAAGGGCTGAGAAGAAGCAGCAGCAGCAGCAGCTGCTGTGTTGTGGCCGTATAGCCACCCCTCAACCGCACCACCCACCTCCGACCTCCCACCGCCCCTTCGTTTTGATGTTCTTAGCGGGGCCTGATGGAAAGGGCTTACTGAAGATTGACCCAGTTTACATGCGGATGTATGAACTTCTAATATGTGGTGTAAGGTCCTTTCCCGCTACTCATCTTACAAAGCTTAACTAACAATCTCCTCCCACTTTCAATTCAGCAAAATCTCACCCATCTACTGTTCAAGACACTGTCTGTCATGACCTATATCAGCCCAACCTGAACCAGCCTAGTGACCTACATTCGTCCCACATGTCCCCGTGCTTCACTCTCTGTCCTCTGTCTTCCTCTTTCTGCCCCGCGATGAGATTTACAAGGATACGGTTACTGTATTTGGAGTGAATAGCTCATGAGCGGAGGGGCCTGTGTTATGTCATACGATACTCCGTGTCCTTCATTCCCTTGCTGACCCGTTATAGCAACATGCAACTTCTGCTAGTGTGGATGGCCGCACGCTTGCATCAGCACTACTCATTAGGTCTAAGTGTATTATGCATTATGTTTGCACTGCGTAATTATGTGTACTGAAAACAAAATGCCATATTTCCCTGTGGTGTTAATGGTAATAATGATGTTATCCTTTTTTTAGCCATGCTTTATTGATGTCAATGTTCAGTTGGTCCACCATTTTTATCCAGACTGAAATATCTCAGCAGCTATCAGAATTGCCACAAAACTGATATTCATGATGCCCAGAGGGGTCGTGACCGACCGAAATGAGTTTCCTCCGTAGGGTGGCCGGGCTCAGCCTTAGAGATAGGGTAAGGAGCTCGGTCATCAGGAGGAAGCTTGGAGTAGAGCCGCTACTCCTTCGCGTCGAAAGGAGTCAGCTGAGGTGGTTCGGGCATCTAATTAGGATGCCTCCTGGACGCCTCCCACTGGAGGTTTTCCAGGCACGCCCAACTGGGAAGAGACCCCGGGGAAGACCCAGAACACGCTGGAGAGATTACATCTCCCAGCTGGCCTGGGAACGCCTCGGGATCCCCCAGAATGAGCTGGAACATGTTGCCGGTGAGAGGGAGGTCTGGGTCGGCCTGCTTGACCTGCTGCCACCGCGACCCGACCCCGGATAAGTGGTGGAAAATGGATGGATGGATGATGCCCAGAGGATGGATCATGACAACTATGGTGATCCTCAAGCTTATCTCCTAGAGCCACCAGCAAAAATGTTCACTTATCAAGTAAAATATCTCCACCTAATCGATCGATTGGCAAGAAATTTGGTAGAAACCTTCATGGTTCCCAGATGATCCTAATGACTGCGTAGATCCCTCTACTTTTCCTTTAATGCCACAATGAGGTTGTCATTTGTAGTAACTATTGCATGACATTTTTGTGCAGACATTCATGTCCCCCTGAGGATGAATTATAATCCCTTTGGTGATCCCCTGACTTTGCACCATCATCAGACCAACATTTTTATTTGTAAATAACTTAAACTTTTACATAAACTTTGGGTTATGAGTACTTCCAATTTAACGACATACACTTTCTATTTATCACTACTAAACAAATGTTAGCGTGCTAACACACTAAACTATAATGGTGAACGTAGTATGTGCTAAACGTCAGCATGTTAGCGTTGTCATTGTTACACTTGTTGGCAAGCCTAGAAATTCAGGCAGAGGTGACCTTGGAAATGAGTTATCATCGTGTCTTCCTCTGTCTGCAGCTTTGTGTTTCCATATCACCTCTTTGACCTCTTGCTTGGTCTTTATTTCCCCCCTCCATCCTCCCCCCTGTCCTCTCTCTCCAGTCTGATGAGTGAAGGTGCCGGCAGCCCGCTCCTGCACCGCGATGGTCGACATGGAGAGCCACTACCATCCCCCTTCACCCCTGGAGGACTCGGTGCTGGGCAGCCCCCTGTGCAACGATGATGACTTCATGGGCGGCATGGAGGAACTCCAGGACATCTCCCAGTCCATCAAAGATGACGCTCTCAGCTCTTTTGATGTCCCCGAATACCAGTCCTCCAGCAATGGCTCGGAAGGGTCCACTGTTCTAGGTGAAGTCTCATTATCACTGAATTCAAATTATCTATGTAGGTTATTGATAATCTAGTGAAATAATAAGGTGGGGTTTTCTCCCATTTCCCAGTTTCAAAGTGTCCCCGGCAACTCGGTGTAATCTCCTTGCCATTGTTGTTGTCAGAGCTGGGTTCCTCAGTTTAACCCCTAATCCCTTATTTACGCCACCTGGATATACGGAGAGGACATACACTTTGGCTAATTTAACCTCTTGCCTTGAACTACAACAAATCTTCTCTACAATCCTTTAACAGCACTTTGTTTACTCAGGTTGTCTGATTCCCCCACTTTACCCCTCATGGCAATAGTCCCTTGGTCGTAATCGGTTTGTCCTTGTCTCTGATCTACTGTGTCTTTTGCCAATTTATTTCCATATTTCTCTCTCATTTCTCCTCCTCTTTACTATTTATATTTTTTCTATATTTCCCTGATTAGCCTCTCTTTCCTCCTCCAGCCCTTCTCCTCGCCCCATATCCAATGAGGAATTCACACATTCATTCCTTAGCCACCATGCACCATCCTGACACTGTGTTACCATCTGAATAAAAGTCCCATGGGCTTCTGGGAAATTTATCCTTATACCAGATTACTCAAGAAGTAAAGAAGCCGTGAATAGTCCAGAAAGATAAACATTTAATGGAAGAATAGAGGGTTGGAGTGAGATAGAGTGAAGTGAAGGAAGTATGGGGAGAAGGCATTGTGGAAACATTTGATGATGTCAGGGAGAGGATGTTCAGGATTTATGTATGTTTAGGAGTGCTAACCGTGAGCAATGGAAGAAGAAGAAACACTGACACGCTTTTCTTGTCCACACTCGGTTGAAACATGTGCACCAGGCAGGAACCACAGCTCCATTTCCGCTGCCAAATGTCCTTTATCCCCATTCTGGCGTCTCCCGACCAACTCATGTGGCTTGACTTAGTGCCACTGTTTTGTACCCTTGCGTCTTTGCTATTTATGTAGCAAGCAAGTTCTACCCAACCATGTGACCTTCACAAGGTGGAAATAGAAAACTGTTGGACACCTCTGACCTGTCATCCCTGAGAAGGATGAGTAATACTACTCCATCAGTGTTATGCTAGTGACAGGCGTGAGGTCAAGGTCAAGCTGTACTTTAAATTCCACAAGTTCTTTGCCTGAGGGAGGTGAGACAGTATGCGCAGCCGTTCAGGCAAATATTTAATTTTCACTTACATTTTCCCAAGATAATGACTCCACGGATGCCTGACTGTGGTGACAAGATCAACTTATAACAAAGTGTGGTGAGACATCAAGTGTTTTACTTTTTTAAAAGTCTACAAGATGCATTAAAGTGAACACAGCAAACACACTTTTGCAACAGAGAGACAAGTTCCTGCATATTTTCTCGCCTTCACACACACACCCGGCCAATCAGTGTGTGAAGTGGCCATGCTTGTCGGATTGCCTATTTCGGAGAGCTAAAATAACTGTCAAATGCAGCTTCCCGAATGCCGGCATTTGAAAGGTACGAGGGGAGAGGGTTTCAGTCACTGTTTGACGTTCAGACAACTGGAGTCTTTGAAGAGTCCTGATGGCTATAGACTATGAGGAGTGTAGTCATCCAGTTATCTTCCCTGTCTTTGTTAAGAAACCGTGTCGTAAAAAAATCCACACTAAAAATACATACATTTCATTTCAAAATGTTGACGTCAGTATTTTCAGTGCAATAAAGACCATTTTTCTATACACACTGCAAATAAAGAGTTACATGAGTGTGCACACGTTCTCCTAACTCATACTCATGAGACTAAAAGTAGGTCTACAGCATTTATACATATATATACATGCTGAGGTACTGTGCATTCGCCCACTTTCAAATCACATATGATTGTACAGCATGTGGGGTCAATAACAATCATTGTCTCGTCTGATTGAATGTGCAGTTGCGGGTCGCACCATTGTGAGAAGCTCTGTGCACAAAAATAAGCCTTTCCTCCACTTCTTTTCTCCACTGGATCTGCAAAAGAAAACATGGATCCATTTTTTTTTTTTTTTTATAAAATACTATTTTTGAAAAGACCAGCGCTATTTAAAATGTATAATAGTAATAATAATAATACATTTTATTTATATAGCGCTTTTCATAAAACTCAAAGACACTTTACATTAAAATCATCATATATAAAAGCAACACACTAAAAACATAAAATACACAATAGTGGTCACACATTAAAAGCAGTTTTGAACAGGTGGGTTTTGATCTGTGATTTGAATATGGAAAGTTCAGTGCAGTCTCGGATGTGTTTGGGGAGAGAGTTCCAGAGGGAGGGGGCAGATATGGAGAAGGCTCTGTCACCCCATGTCCGGTGCTTGGTCCTGAGTGGAAGAGACAGGAGGTTGGCATCAGAGGAGCGGAGCCGACGGGATGGAGTGTGGTGGTGAAGCAGGTCGGTGAGGTAGGAGGGGGCCTGATTGTGGAGGGCTTTATGAGTGAGGAGAAGGATTTTGTATTGGATCCGTTGTGGGATGGGGAGCCAGTGGAGGTTCTGGAGAACAGGGGTGATGTGGTCACGGGAGCGGGTGTGGGTGAGCAGGCGAGCAGCAGAGTTCTGGATGTACTGGAGTTTATTTAGGATTTTGGATGATGTGCCGTGGAGAATGCTGTTGCAGTAGTCAATTCTTGAGGTGATGAAGGCGTGGATCAATTTCCAATCAATTTCCAATCAATTTCCAGCCACAGATTTGGTGCTCATGAAACTTTTCATTTTACCGGCCATCAGTGTAATCGTTGTCTTAAGATGCGTTTGTTCTATGACACGTCTAATCACCCATGTGCTTGTGTTTTTGCAGATGCCCTGACGCCAGCATCCAGCCCCTCGTCGGTTGTTTACGGGTTGGCAGCGGGCCAGGATGAGTTCTCGTCCGCCTCCTCATCGCTGAATCTGGAGTGTCGAGTTTGTGCTGACCGCGCCTCGGGCTACCACTATGGAGTCCACGCCTGCGAGGGCTGCAAGGTGAGACGACGATCACACACATGAATTATACAGTCAGACAAGTGGTTCTTGTTCTTTATATTTCACATAAGACTCTGGCGAAGACTAGACCAGCGTAAGGATTAGTGACTGAGTAGGTCTTTTTAATGGACGTACAGTTGTTGAAGGACATTATTGTCTGAAGTCATCACACATGCCTCAGTATCTTGTCACCGGACACTGTGTTTTACTTAATGCTCTTTTCTCTCCACCAGGCAATATTTCTGTCAATATCCATCAATCACTTCCTCCCAAAGTCACCCACACTCAAGCACAGACAAGCCAAGAATCCCAAACAGCCTCCTGACTGTAATAAATTTAAACAACGGAAAAATTGAAAACATGCCTGGCCAGAAATCCAGAGGCTGTGTGTCTTGTGACTACTCCTAAAAGCATCAGAGCTACCAGGCTCAGCCTTTACATGTGGTCGCTCAATAATCCTTCAGTTAATTGTTTACCAGTCATGTTGAAGAGCAACCCAAGGCTGTTTTTTAAGAGGGGCCGAAGGACAAAGATAGCCCCGACTTGAAGTGTGTGTGCATGTGTTTTTAAACCTATGCTGGTGTGTCGGTAATCTGCATTCCTTTATATTTTTGTTATTTTCTATCAGTCGCTGATGGTTAAAAAAAATACCTGAAGGAAAAGTGGCTGACGGGAGAGACGTTTTTACACCTCCGCACTGTGAATCCACTCAGTGCAGCTAAATAAAGTGCTGCCAGGACAGAGAGTGGGAGTATGAATGTCAGGAAGTAATACATAAACACTCCATCATGTCAACATGATGTTACATAAACATTCACATCGGAGCAGGACGTGTGAGTCTGTACAGCGGTGGAATGATTGTTTCATGTGTATTTGCATCAATACAGAAGTATATACACTGAACAAAGGCTTTGGTGGGTCCACAGGGCAGGAGCCAAAGCTATGTGACCTATGCAGGGTGAAGGCGTAGTGCTGTAAAACAATAGGTTATCACAAAGTCAAGGTACATTGGTTTAGCTTCTCCTACCTTTAGGAGGGAGTCATTGAAAGTGCATCTATCAGAAGTGCCAGAGGGTAATGGTGAAGCCCCTTCTTGCAGCATTTGCTGGATCAGCTGAAGTCAGCATTTCTTGATGGGCCAGCGAGGCTTTGCACATTTCAAAGGCTCCTCTGGAATTTTTTATTTTTTCATGATTTTAATAAGCCTCTATTCCAAATTTAACAGAGATGTTAGAGAGGTGACAGGAAATTGAAAAAATATGGGTTGCCCAATGGATATTGAACGAGGGAATTTGCAATCACAGTAATTGGATAATTGGAATGCGTTTTAACATCCACGCCACTGCGACGCCTCAAAGCAGCCCTGCTGACAACCTGTATTCACCAGGTGTTTGGGTTTGTGTGCAGAGTGAGTGTGAATGGTGGACAGTAAAGGAGAAGTCATATTAAACACACAAAACTCCAGTTTATCTGCTTCATCTGGTTGATGAGATGAGAATCTTGATGAGATTTCTGACGTCTTCGAGTCTTTTTTTGAAAGTTTGATTGGTGCATGTAAATGCTTGACAGAACCCGGCCCGTCAAATCACTGAGAAGACCACAAACAAAATCTCGCATGTGAAATTACCTGAATTGTTTTAATTTTGTCATAAAGTATTCTTGTATACTCGCACACATACATGCATACCCTCTCTTGTGCATTATTTCCCCCTGTTATTTGATCATGGAACAGTAATGGGAGGAGGCTGACATCTGGTTTGTCAATACACTGATGAAGCCCACTTGGCTTGAACATCGTGTGCGCGCGCGTGTGTGTGTGTGTGTGCGTGTGTGTGTGCGTGTGTGTGTGTGTGTGTGTGTGTGCGTGTGCGTGCGGTTGGAGGTTAGTGGGTGAGAGGTTAGTGGCTGAGAGTCAGTCAGTGTTACTTAGCATGTGCTCGCGTGGTTGTAGCGTGTCTGTGTAATGTTGTATTGTCTGACCATTTTTGTCACTTTTCTTACTGTGTGAGTATTTTGGCACACAGGGAGACAGGCTGGGATGAAATTCAAATTATTTTGAAAATTTTTCTAAATGTGATGTTAAGCAATTCCCCAGGACATTATCTACCCTCCAGCCTACCGCACACATGCCTCTTGGTCCCTGTGTTCCTTGCCAAAAGTTTATTTTGTCAAGATTGTGTCAGAGAAGAGAAACGGATGGTGAAACTATGTCTGATATTGTCACGCACCTTTCAGATGAAGCAGATAAACTGGGGTTTTTTGTGTTTAATATGCAATGATATTTTTTTTTTTCCTAACTTTAACGCTGATTGTTGCTTATTTAGGTATGAACATTTAATGTTGCAGAGATTTAACCAAGTTTTCAGGGCTCTTTAAAAGATGAGTTTGTGCCTATAATCTATAATCTTCTCCTTTACTGTCCACCATTCACACTCACTCTGCACACAAACCCAATTGAATGTGTTGTAATTACATTGAATGTGTTGTAATTCTGTTATGCTGTTCTACACATGACATCTATTGCACTTCTGTCCATCATGGGAGAGGGATCCCTCCTCTGTTGCTCTCCCACAGGTCTCTTCCTCTTTTTTTCCCCGTTAAAGGGTTTTTTTGGGGGAGTTTTTCCTGTTCTGATGTGAGGGTTCTGGGACAAGAGGATGTCAAATGTGTACATATTGTAAAGCCATCTGAGGCAAATTTGTGATTTTGGGCTATACAAGAATATATATGTTGTCAATATACAAAAAATTTAATATGGGAATAAATCACTCCTTTCCTAAAAATATATCTTTTTATTTTTTTAACTGGATCCTGAAACTGGTTTCATAACAGACAAAATACAATACATAACAATAAGCCTTTATTGATCCCCAGAGGGGGAATTCAGGTGACAGCAGACTGTATTTACTACATTTCAGGTGTAATGTGCTTGTGTATTTTCTGATCTGGTCCATGGTGTTCATGTCTCATTCATACATCATTTTCAAAGAATTAACAGCAATTGCATTTTTGCTTCATGTGAGCTGCGTTCACATTTTAACAATGTTCTCCCCTAATTCCTTTTTAGGGTTTCTTTCGGCGGACCATCCGTCTGAAGCTGGAGTATGACAAGTGTGAGCGTCGCTGCAAGATCCAAAAAAAGAACCGCAACAAGTGCCAATACTGCCGCTTCCAGAAGTGCCTGTCAGTGGGAATGTCCCACAACGGTGAGTCCTGCAGGGCAGGGCCGGTCTGTGCGCTGCTCCAAGCCCAGCACGCACGCACGCACACACGCACACACGCATGCACGCACGCACACACGTGCGCAAGATTGTTGTTACCTGTAAACACACTCTACTTAACAGAGTACCACAGTTGTGCAGATGCAGAAGAAAGATCGGACATGCACACATGCACATAATTAGTATGAATAGGAAATCGAACACCACAGTTGGGTGTTAAGTTGCATGTTAAGACAAGTCTCTAACTGAGGACTAATCCAGGCTATTGGACAGCTTCTTCCAAATGTACCCATTTCATCATATGGACCGTCTGTACTTTCATTTATTCTGAAAAAGGCCGCTTAGAGCTGCAACTCATTCATGTGCAGCACATGGACTATCCATCTTTGTGCATACTGCAGCCTTTACAGTGCTGGATCATATTGAATTGCAAAAACTGAACCCACTGAACCCTTTTGGTTGAAGATATGTGAACAAGATTGAAAATCACATGACCAAGTGAGTCAATCCACATGATTATGTGACTCACAAAAACCCCCTAATAGCACCCGAATAGTCAACTTTGCTGCTCACATTGATCCGAAGATCCAACATTTTTCAGGGTCACAAAGTATTACGAATAAAGCTAATTAATCACGTGATAAAAAAAAAATCATTGTCATTCAAAAAATGAAACCATGTTGCATTTGTTTTGTCACTGGAATTCGCCTGCATTGTGTTTTACAGCAATAATTTGTAATATTTTCAAAAAGATCATAATTTTGAAAGAGAATAAAGTCAAATTTGCTTGTCAAATTAAGAATTTACTTTCACAATGAATATTTTTCTTGGGAAACAATTTAATTTAGTAATTTTTCGAATGTTTTATTTATTGCAATGTTCTTCCCATAACATTGCAGCATTTTCTAGAACTAAACAAGAGTTTTCTTTCCACAAGAGTGACCCTAATACTCCGTAGTATCTCAAAATCTTTTAAAGTACTAGAAACTATTTAGTGACGATTAATCCAGCACATGCTTCTGCAGTTTGTATTTCAGTCTTGACTGTTGCAGAGAAAACACCTGCAACATCTGTGCAATCAGTATTGTGTTCAACAATATCGTCTTAAAAGCCATACATCAGATTTTCACCTCAGTGCGGCTTATCTTTGTTTGGAATACAGGAATATTGAGGTCAAAGTTTGCAATTCTGGTGAATGCTGTTGACTCTGTAAACATACAACATGGCATGCTGACCCTTGGTCAAGGTCAATGTACTGATTGAGAAAGAAACACTGAAACTGATTTTGGAGATGACATGTGTGTTTGTAGGTGTCTTTTCTGATTCGTCGGGGTATTTTTAAAAGAATAATATAAAAAGGTCAATGCAATCGGGGGGGGGGGGGGGTTTACATATAGACTGTGCACACTGTGCAGATATCCCATACCGGTGGCATTGAACGTGAGGATGCAGAGGCCGGACTGAGCGTCTTTATTTTGTCCCATGGGGTTATTGACTGAAGAGGCTTCCACATAGCATAGCCCAGATTTTGATGATCATACGATTCAAGTATTTCTGTCAGCTCCACTTCCTCTAACGGTGTAAGTGTATGGAGTTTCACGGGCTTAAATGTAACCGTAGAAGGGGAGGAAGGAGATTTGAGACCAGTGCAACCTCATCTTCTGGGGTTCGGTGGTCTAAGAGACAACACGACCACAGGACTGCTAATTGTGGAACGTTTGTGGACAATTGATTTTTCCTTTCTAAAACAGTTCAACGGTTTTAATTTCTTTAAATTGAAGTCAACAAAGGTACAGATGTCATCAGAAAGGGGAACATTTAGGAAGTTGTGTTTTGTACATATAAAGTTTACCCATTAAAATAATGTTGCAATAAAGCACAGTGAGTTGTGTACATATGCATGTGCATATAGATTGTGTGCTATTTCAACAACATTCCTTTTTTGATAATGCAACACAGCAGCATCGTGCTTTTATTATCACACAACGCATACATGATCGGTTGTCTCCTCCAAAAACGTAATAATACATCAGATCTCATGTACTATAAACAGATCATTTAATGTGTCTGCTGTGAGGGAGAAAACAACAGGAATAATAAGTCTTACAGTAGCAAAGGAAGCGTTTAATGGCTGGAATCTTCCTCTACAAATCAGCCGTTGGAACAGTTGATTTAATGGAATGACAGACTGTCCGCCTCTCTAGTCCCCTCGCCACTCAAGTCATCCCCTCACAGTGGACGTTATAGGACATATGCTCAGCTTAACATCACTCACTTCCTCTCATCTTGATTAGACTTGGCTCCTGCACAGGCGCTCGCTGTTGAGCTTTACCAGTTTCAGAGGATCCATCCACTTTGTGAGCAGTAATCTAATGGGCCCTCATGCTGTCTGCTAGATCAGTATCCTCATCCCCGCTCAGTCCTGCTCAGTTGGCCTGGATTTGTTTCAACAGCGGGCGGCTCGTTGGAAATCAATCTCCTTTTATGCTTTTATTGTCTTGTAAATGCAGGTGTTGGGTGCAGCTGGATGTTGGGACCTCAGAAAGCGGTGTGTGTGTGTGTGTGTGTGTGTGTGTGTGTGTGTGTGTGTGTGCGTGTGTGTGTGTGCGCGTGTGTGTGCACGCGTCAGCGTCAGCTTGTGCCCATTTAAATTGATGTCGAGAGGTTGAAGACAGTTCACCTCTAATCTCATTCATCAAATGGGATCAGGCCGTCTGAGATGCAGTATGCCGAAATCCTCTCGTAGAAAAACATCTCTTGTACAGTGTTGAAGCATTCTCCGCATACACCTTGTAATATGTAGTAACCTTTTGTGTTCATTCATAATTTCCTATTGCTGTAATGCATAAAAAGGAAGTTTTACCTTTTTTTGTTGAATAGATATTGATTCTGTTTCCATTCTTATTGTTTTCTTTCAATTGTGCTTTATCGGCATGAAAAATTATACTAAAGCATGAAGAAAAAGAGTCTTTGGGGCTTTTAACAATTTTGTCAGGGATCTGAATACTTTACCATTTTACATTTGACTTAATCAAAGTGAACTATTTTGACTCAGACTTCATCTGAACTGAATTTGTTTCTCACTGGCGTTTTGTAGAGCTGGCCATGCTGAGGTCAGTACTCACTTTGGGGTGTCTTTTTGTGGCACGGCGCTGTAAAGTGACTTGATTATGATGTTTTATTCAGAAACTATTATTAGAATATTTATATTAATAATAATAATAATAATAATAATAATAGCACCCCATGGCTATAAGGTTAATTATTCATACCATGAAACAAATAAGCACACTTCATTAAAAACACAAAAAAACAACACTCTCCACCCCAAATGCCTGAGGCTTCATAAAAATTCCTGCCGTTTTGCAGCAAAAAAACAACAGTTTGACTGCAGTGTGGAAGTTGTGTCAGGGCAGGTAAGCAACCCTCAGACTTTAGCCCATGGTGGGTGGCCATGGCTCACCTCAGTCAACCCTCTGGCTCAGCCAAGTGTTGCTTTTATACATTCACTGCCAGCTTGAGACTCGTATGCATATTGGAAACTGAAGCAGTCAGGTGATGTTTTTGTCTTTGAAATTACCTTCTATGGCAAACTGGTCTGTTTTACTGACCTTTCAGTCTCTTTTTGGAATATTGTTGTCATTAGAATTAGTGTGTGTGTGTGTGTGTGTGTGTGTCTAGTGCTTGCACTGTGCTGTTTGCAGATCAAGTTGCTGCTGTAGTCATTTTTTATAGATGGAAAGAAAATACATAATGTTTTAAAAAATAATAGAATTGGACTTCTCTGACTTTGAAAGTAAGGCCTGGGGCTGCACTTTGGTTGAGCTGTAAAGGTAATTTATTTATATTGACATAAAGAAATGCCAGATTCTAGTAGCATCTATTTAGTTTAGCGTTTAGTGGTGCTATCTTTGAACATTTCATTGCAACTCCGCCACACGCTTTATTTGAACAGATTTAATACTTTGTAGATATGTTAAATGTTTTGTGTAATCTGCTGATGTGTTGGCATCAATTCATTTGACATAACCGGGTGTCTTTTTAGAGATTTTGAACATGATTCCTCCAGATGTCAGCATCTTAAATAAGTGATAATTGTGGTTTTGTGGACCTCAAGCTATTTTACATTTTCCTAAACTGGGTTTGTTTTAAAGTACTCCGTGGCCTCTTTTTGTTCTTGTACAGTCGTTTTGTCAGTGTTTTATTGATCTAATATTCACATTGCATTTATTGCATTTTCTGCAATGTCTGTCACACTGTAAAATGAATCTGTGACTTGACAGATTTATACTTGCACAAATTCTGTCTGACTTTCTATCTGCTTTGCTTACAGCCATCCGTTTTGGCCGGATGCCCCAGTCGGAGAAGCTAAAGCTGAAGGCGGAGATGGTAACGGGGGACAGGGAGGTGGGAGACCCCCATGTGGCCGACCAGAAGATGCTCGCCCGGCAGATTTATGAGGCTTACCTCAAGAACTTCAACATGAACAAGGCCAAGGCTCGAACCATACTCACCGGCAAGACCTCCACACCTGTACGTTGATTAAGAGTAGTGGGTTGGTGAGTGAAAGGTGTTGCGTGTGTGGATTGCGCGTTCATGGCTCTTCTCATCACCAGAATTTCCTCACAGGTCAAGGTCATGTTGTCTTGCAATGTTATAATTTATTTCCTCCCCATCGGAGTGATTTAAATCTGATTTTGAGCACATTTAAAATTTGCAATCGAACAAATGTCTCAATATGACCTGGCAGCCTGCCCCTCAGAGATTATAAGCAGCCAGCCAATAACAGAAATGACTTGCTCAATCGGTAGTGCAAGCCAACACACAAGCTGGACAAGGAAACATCTGTATCTGTATAAAGAGCCAGTGTATGAGCCCATCACTTCTCCCTCCCCTGCCTGTTTACCTCCATGCCTGCACTCTTTTCATCACCCATCGCCAATCTCACCGAAAACATTCCCTCGCAGCCTCGTCTCTTTAATTTTCCTTTGATCAGAAAAGAGGGGCCGACAAGTGGAGGGTCGTGAACTGCGGCCCAGAGTTGTTGTGAAAACCATGGATGGATGTGTGTAGGTGTGAATAAGGTCAAGAGGGACAGGACAGTCCAAGTGCACATCACTGTTCAAACACGACCTCCCCCTCTGCTTCTGGAGATCAAAGCTTTTAGATGGATAAGTGTCCATTTAGAGTCCGGAGGGAGTCGGGATTTGCCGTCAGTTGAAATGCACATAGTGTTTGATCCACCCCTTGATTTTAGTGCTCGCTCATGGTGTCACAGCACTTGTATACAACATGGAGCTTCACAATAGGGCTGGGCAATAATTCAATATGATAATGTATCATCTTTCTATGGAATCGTATCGTGATGAAATCATATATCGATATATTGTGATACGCAATTCCATCATCCAAGTTGATAATAACAAGCACATACTCACTAACTTTCTCAGAAAATCTGATAAAACTCAGTTAAATCAAACTATTGTCTAATCTAATTCCTCTGTATTTGTGTGCTTGCAGCTAAACATAGTGGGTACATAGCTGGAAATATATATTTTTCTCTGTAATTTCACTTGAAACTGTTATGTTCATTTTGCTCTTTTCATTTGTGTCGTATTTAATTTACACAGGAGTATACAAAAACCATCTGTAGTTACCATGTGGTTATTTCATATAGACTGTTTATTTATTGACCTACCAGAAAACATGCTACATTGTGATATCGCTGTCAAGGTAGGAAATTGCCTCAATCGGGATGGAAGATTCTGGCCATATCGCCCAGCCTTACTCCCTTGAATGTCATATTGTACAGTTTCCCACAGCTCTGTACAGATTCCGACATGTCTCAAACATTTGATTCCGGGATTGTTTGTGAACAGTTTAAAATGAAAGAATAGCTTCCTAATATTGTATAAGTCTTATTTAAGTAAACAGATAAATACTACAGAAGATAATGTTGCAAGAAGACAGTTGACATAGAAAACATTCAACTTAATTATTGTATTGAATGTCACCGCTCCATCGTTAACTTCTTTGGATCTGAGTCAGAAATGTTCCATCAGGTTAGACTCGACCGTCTCAACGTCTGGCAGGAATACTGAGCCATAATTGTGTCACTGTTGGCTCTGATTTATGCACAGTGATTATCCGTTTTGTTGTCTGACTGAACTGGTTTCACTGAGCTATGATTCTTACTAGCACTACATACAGTTTTGACAGGGTGTCCTAAAAAACAAACGGCTACAGAAATGTCAAGCTGCTGCTCTGGGCTACACTGTTCACTGGGTATGATCCCGTGAATTTATTGGATAATACAAGAGTAAGAAGGCCCTGGCACTGGCATTTGATCAAAAATATTGTTATGAAGTCAAAAAGTCAAAAATATTAGACCTAAAACTTTGATTTATGACCAAATACCTGTACAAAACTAAAGACATTTCCATCAGTAACAGCTGTACTTATCAAATGCTAACATGCTACACAAAGATACTGAAGATGGTAAACATCATAAAGATCAGCATGTTATCATGCTGGTGTTAGCCTTTAGCGCAAAGCATTATTGTGCAAAGTCGCTATAGCATGGCAGTTTACTCTTTTATACTGTTTTAGCTAACTGTAGCTCTCTTTAAACCTTGTTAAAGAGCTGTAGTCTTGTGGAGACGTTGCAGTGTAGTTCTATCAGTGTACGACTGTGTAAAATGCATGAATTCAAAAGAATGGTCTGCAAAGCCTTTCTGAGCGTCCATAAGGTTGTCACTGCAGGGTCAAGGAGAGTAATTGTGTCCTCATGGAAATCTTGAAAGAGTCAACAAGGGCTGTGGGCTTTGTTCCTTTCTCTACCCACTGAAGAACCAACGGCTGAGGTTGTTGTGACAATAAGATGACAATTCTGGCTTCTTTGCTTCCGCGAGATCACAAAGCATCAAATTACGCAGTGGTCCAAAATGAGGCAAAGCATAGAAGATATTGACGGTACACAATGTGCATGCACACAACATTGTTTCGAAGCATTCTGAGTTGGAGATTACTATTTCAAGGCCGAAACTTAGATTGTTGCTTTATACAAATGTGCATGAACAATTTGTTCAGAAGAACATTATGATTATTAACTTGTTTATTATAAATGATCTGTCACAACTGGTGATTAAGTGTCATGTTGATGTAGAAATACCATGTCCCTCAAACCGTATCCTGCTACTCGAGCCCACATTTAGTACAGCACTCTGAGTCAGAGCTCTGATATGATGGGAAGGAGCAGGTGGAGCTGCTCATCAGATGGTGTAACTTATCCACTGTGGGAAACAGTGAAGCAGTTAAAAACACTTATTAGGTAGAATCAAGGGCATCACTGCTACCATAGCATGAGCTTACAGAGTGGCTTACCTTTACAGTACATACATGTGATATGGCTGTATAATAGTTTCATACAAGCGCCACATAAAAACACAAATAACAGACGTAAAAACAAAGTAGCAAAAAGTTAAAAACTGCATGAAAACACGAACAATCTCACTTAAAAGAGACGACAGACTTATAACTGTTTAATATATAATATAATTTGTATTTCAGTGTCAGGTCAAGTACATTCAGTGCTCAAATTTTTCTTAATCCTTTTTTAAAAAACTTGCATGCTTATAAAATAATCTAGATTACAATGTCTCTTACTCTCACACCAAGATGAGGCTCCAAAAAACTTTAAAAATGCTTCACCAAAAACGGTTTTAATGTATCTGTATGATCGGAGGTTGCAGCTACTGAGAGAACACGGCGAAGGAGGCAATTTGTGTGAAATGGCCTTGAGTTAACGTTTTCTTTGCAGAAAAAGAAACACATTTATTTCTAGAATAGAAAGTAAAGCACTGGATAAAATGTTTGTAAGATCTTCTCGGGGGAAAAAAATGGTATTTATAAGTGGAGACTAAATCACATTATTATTTACATTAAGAATCTGAAATACCTCATCAGCTGTCTCTTTTCTGACCTTGAGAAGAACATTATTTTGGCTTTGTCAACATTAAGTACAAGTCTCAACAGCTCCAACTTTAACTCTGTTCCTATCGGGAATTTATTTGCATCTCAAACCTCTGAGTGTTAAATGACCCACAACTATGTAGTTCTACGGGTATGACGGTTCTGGGCTTAGCCTCTCCTTTCAGTAAGGATTAGAAAGAAGAAAAGAAACCCTTTTTATTGTCATATACACGAAATTTGACCTCTGCATTTGACCCATCCCTGTATATAGGGAGCAGTGGGCTGCCAATGACAGGTGCCCGGGGAGCCGGGGGTTCAGTGTCTTGCTCAGGGACACTTCGACACGTGGCACGTCCCAGTCGAGGATCGAACCCTCTTAAACCAGTGAGCCACATACACATACACTATGTGTGTTTATGGGTAAACACCACATACACTATGGTTTTTCATGACGAGAGGTTTGCGGACTCAGCTTTTCCATATTTATGTAGTCCGGGCAGGTTTATTTACGTATGTAATGTATGCCCAAATAGTAGGCCCACGCACTGTACTGACTGTGTTGCATTTCAAGTGGAAACCCATTTTTAACTTTGCCTTACACATATAGCTCACATAAGTTTGTCCTTGTCCCCACAGCCTTTCGTCATCCATGACATGGAGACCCTCAAGCTGGCAGAGCAGACACTGGTGGCAAAGATGGTGGGCTCAGTGGGGACGCTGAAGGACCGGGAGGCAGAAGCTCGGATTTTCCACTGCTGCCAGTGCACGTCGGTGGAAACCGTCACCGAGTTGACAGAGTTTGCAAAGTCCGTCCCCGGGTTCTCGAGCCTGGACCTCAACGATCAGGTGACTCTTTTGAAATACGGCGTGTACGAGGCCCTCTTTGCCATGCTCGCCTCCAGTATGAACAAGGACGGGCTTCTTGTAGCGTACGGCTCGGGCTTCATCACCCGGGAGTTCCTCAAGAGCCTGCGACGGCCGTTCAGTGACATGATGGAGCCAAAGTTCCAGTTTGCAATGAAGTTTAACGCATTGGAGCTGGACGACAGTGACCTGGCTCTGTTTGTGGCCGCTATCATCTGCTGTGGAGGTGAGGATGCAGGAAAAATATTGTTTATGATTAAACTATTAATTTGTTGTATTGGATTATGTTCTTTCTCCTTTTGCTCTTTGAGGACTTTTAATCTATCTCAAAGCAAATGCTTCCATATTACACAAATTGCTGTTGTGAAAGTGTTCTGGTACTACCTTGCTACTGAATATTAGTATTCCAATGGGAGATTATGGTTAGGTGGTCTCACTAAAGTTTATTTTGCTTCCCCTGTGATCAGACCGCCCAGGCCTGGTGAATGTGGCGCACATCGAGCGAATGCAGGAGAGCATTGTGCAGGTGATACACCTCCATCTGCTGGCCAATCACCCCGACAACTCTTTCCTCTTCCCCAAGCTGCTGCAGAAACTGGCTGACCTCCGGCAGCTAGTCACTGAGCATGCCCAGCTGGTGCAGGAGATCAAAAAGACAGAAGACACTTCACTGCACCCGCTCCTGCAGGAGATCTACAGAGACATGTACTGAGGGGTTTATGGAGGAATAACCAGGAGAGGCACTTTACAAATCAACTATTTCAGGGACAGAAGAGGAGTCCTCCATAAGCTAGGTTGAACCACTTAAACCCCCATCCCATAATGCAGCAAGAGTTTGGCTTCTGGTTTAGCACACCGGGTCCAGTTAAGGCCTTGGCAAGAGGCTAGTGGTTCTCTTGGTTTGACACAGTGCTCTCCACTCCATTGTGTGGACCTTCATCGGCAGAAAAGTCATGAATGCAAAGACGTGATGTACAGCTGATTGAGCCCCAATCTAGAAACCAGTGTATGCAATCGCTGACCAAACGCTAACTGCTAATTTGAAGTATCGGAGGTGATCTCCATGGTTATCCCTATCCTGACCCTTAACAAGCCCTAAAAATGAGGAAAGAAAGTGAACTCGACAGTCACCACTCCAGCAGTATGCTTGAAAGAAGATTTTTGTACCGATGTCAAAGAGCCATATACATTCAAAGCTAACAACACCCAAATGACTGCAGCGGGCAGCAACACTAAGATAGAGTTTTCAAGAAGGGCAGCTTCTGCCAAATTGCACCAGCTGTACTGTAAGTCTTCTAAGCCATACTGTGTTTGTAATGATACCGGAAATGAACAATGTCTTTCATATTCCTTTCTCTTCCTAACAGCGGAATATTGTTGGTTGTGGATTATCATCACGTATTACTCAATTTCTCTACCAACTGTACAGGCAATAGTATTTTTCAACTTCAGAATAAGCTAGCTAAATCTTAGTTTATAAGAAATGTTCTCAAGACTGAAATAATCGGAGGCAGAGATTCACTGTGTACACGCACCACAATGCACGTCCGAAGCATGAACACGCCCGTGATATGTTAATATGACACCATTTTATACTGGACCTCTGTTGAATGCCTTTTTCACAAAACACATGCACAGACATTTGGCACTCCATCCTGTTTTGCATCCTGGCGTTCAAGGGTTAACACCCAGATAAACCGCATTGCAACCTTTATACAGGCAGACTTTAAGCAGATTTGCCAGAAATTCATACATCTGTTTCTTAATTTCTCACTCAGTGAAGCCCTGTTTACTCCAGAATATGTCTCATTGTTTTGTTTCTCCCAGTTAGTCGTGCTTGGTCTCTCCTCCTGTCAGTCTATCTGTCTTCTAGTGTATTTCTCAGGCTTTCTTTGGTCCTCATAACACATGCAATTATTAAGATTCCGGGGTCTTACGTGCCCATTTTTACATGATGGCAAATGAAAACCATTGCTCTTTTTTTCATAGAGAAAAATCATAAAGTGATGCCCTCATAGATTAAACGGATACTTTGACAATTTAGCAGGGTTAAACAAGTTGCCGGGGATTGATGAAGACCAAATACATTTCCACAAGTTGTTTTTGTCTTGACTATAACTGTGCATGTGAAGAGGCCACTCTTGTATTTTGTTGTCATGTTGCCTTTTGTAGAAAATGAACATGCTACGCAGAAGACCTACAGTAAGGGAATGTTGATAAGGAACTAGTAAAAAAAAAATGCATGGCTGATACTTTGGATTATATATATATATATGTATATGTATATGTGTATGTGTGTGTGTATATATATGTGTATATGTATACATACATGTATGTATGTATGTATGTATGTATGTAAATCTGTGCCCCCCGCCACCCAAATCCTACAATCATCATGAATTCATTTAAATTCAGTCACAAGAAGTTTTTATAAATACATCATCATTGTATAAACAGAGTGTACTGTACATAGCTGAAATGATCACATTGACTGCTCGCCCCACTTTTTAACTCTTGAGGTATACAAGGTACTAATGATGATCAACTTTTGTATTTCTCCGTTTGGAAAATAGTGTTTGAAATTTTACAGCAAATGTAGTTAAGTACCGTATGTTCTTTTTTTGCTTAAATACCACATACCTGTGTTTTAATTGAATTGGATCATATTTTTATACTAAAGTATATATGTATGACTAAATCATCTAGTTGTGTATTTGAAATGGCACGATTGAAGAGTGCAGTGTAAATAGACTTAAAACAGGGCAACTGGTTATCAAAATATATAGATCTGAATCCCTCTGGGGACATTCCTTTTGTTGATTGCTACTTTTAGATAGAGAACCATCAATGCATTCAGTTCATTTCAACACTCTGTCTTGTCTTTGTTAAATTAAGCTGTTGTGATTTAAAGTGAAAGCATAATGTGGGCTGCGCAGGGCTGTGCTAGCTCACAACTTTAAATGGTTGATTACAACCTGACCTCCGTGACTTTTGTCATTTTAAAAATCAAGCTACAGCCCAGCACTGATCATACAATATTGATCTCCTCTTTTTATACTCTGTTCTCAGGTTGCATATAGAAAGTAAGGGTAATATATGCACAGAATGTTCTTCTTATTATCAGAAATCATCCATACTTGCCTCCTGTTGTTGAACAAACAAACTTGTTTTTTTTATTTTATTACACATCACGTCTCTGTTGATGTGCACTCATAATTTTCATCACATCACATGCTATTAGTAAAGAAGATGCAGTAATGAAGATGCAGTATGTACTGTTTTGTAATACTGTTTCTGTCACGCTTTTTGTCTGACTTTCCTCTCCATACTCACTGCTATATCGTACTAACTCACCAAACCTTTCTTATGCCATGAGTAGATTACTGACCTTCAAGCTGCCTCTACTTACTTCTTACAACTTCTCACAGAATGTCAGTCCCACATGCAGAATTCATGCGACGCAGCTCGGTTTTTCCCCTCGCAAGATTCCAGGGACTTGTAGTTCCCAGGCACGCTTCGGGATTAACCATAAACAATCTGTGCCTTGGCGTGTTCCCATGCCATAAAACACTAGAGATTCAGAAAAGAGAACTTGACTTGTGCACACACACACACTTTTAGACTTATAGACTATGTGTGTCGTCAGCTAGAATTAGCTGTTTAGGACACAATAGGGCCACGCAGACAGAAAATCATGTCCCAGCAGATTTCGGAAACTATCCAATGTACAGCAAGAGAGAGGCTCAAAAGTGAAGGACAGACTTTTAAAAACTAAACGGTTGAGACACTAGAGCCCTAGAGGAAAAGTCGGGTAAATTGTGATGTCTTGCTTACCCAGGGAAGTCTGTTTTGTGTTGAATTGACAAGGGATGTTTTTAACTTGTATCAGGGAAACCTAGCCTTCCTTTGTTGAACTAGCTCAGGACACAAAGAAACGGTTTTGTTCCTTCTTGTTCTCAGTCTCTCTTTTTCTCTCTAGAGGAAGCTTGTAGTGCTCTGCCTTACAGCACACAAACACCAACAACAAAGATGATTACAAGAATATTGATATGCCCTTTATTTTTTATTTTACAAAACGGACATGCAGAACAAACTGTTACCAGGGGGCAGCAGTCATAGCAACTAGGTATTTGATTTTCTTCCTGGATTTCATGGAGTTTGTTTTTGTGGCTATAGTGTCATGCAAAGAGACAACAGAGTCTTTGGGTGTGTTGTTAATGTGTAATGTGGCTTGGTAACAATGCTGTAAATGTTTGAATGTATATCTAGTCATTTAAGCAATGGAACAAGTTGACATTGAAAAATAAAATGATTTTTAAATCCACCACATTTTGTGTATTTGTTTGTTTGAATTGAAATGGACAATAATAGAGTTAATATATCATGTGCCTCCTTTTCCTCTCACATCTTAGCTAGGTTTCTAGTAAAGATGTATCAAAACAAATATTAAAATGCTTAGTCATCTTTAGGCTGTAACTCTGGGCTGCATGGTCAGCTGGACCTAATGCAACTTGCCATCTATTGGTGAACAGTCAAACCTGCAACTATTCTCTTTGTACAATTGAGTGAACTAATAAGTGCACATACTGCATTTTACTTCAATGTCCATGGAGGGTAGAAATAAATTAATAGAATAAAATACATTTGCATGTGTGCAAAATTATTGCACTGCAGCTTGCTCCAAAGTTCTGGGGGAAATGTTTATTAAGAATGTGCACCACTAAATTACAACATCAACTTAAACTGAAAGGGCCAGGTGCTTCTGTCCTTGAGAAGGGTCCTTAACACTAGTTGTAATATCCACAACACCTATTGTAAAACCTACAACATGCAAATTCCTATATAAATCCCTTTAAATGATGTCTTTACAGTTAACCTAAACCTTAATTGTTTCCTGTGAAGATGGAAGTTCATTTTGAAAAGACAGTATGCATGTAACAAGCGAAAACAGACTCATGTTGCTGGACTTTTGCAGGAAAAACGCACGAAAAGTGAGGAGTAATATTTCATAAGATATCAATAAAACGGGGATGAATTTATATCATTGTATAAAGAGAGTGACATGAGAAGATCAATCTCATGTCTAAGTTAAATCAGCTATAATCACTATTTTAAAGTGATTAGTGACTCGTCTAAAACATCTAAAAAAGGAATAACTTCAATAGAATCATTCTATACACTGTAACTTCTTTACATTCTATTAGAATGTAAAGAAGTTACCTTTTCTTTTCTTCCCACAAGAACGTAATTTTGTCAGCTTGATAAAAAAATGTCACTTTACTTCCTGACATTATTGGTCCTACACAATACACAGATTAAAGGTGGTGGTGGAGGATGTCCAATAGGGGACAGTGTCTCATTTAGTTGTTTTTTTTACCCAGGGCTTCCAAGTGGCTAAATGACATCCAGTAAACCTAAAGTCTATGGTCCCAGACGGTTGAACCAGTGCACTAGAGGCGCTATACTCCTCACAAACTGTCCGTGATTCTCAACCCCGCCTCCGTGTTCCTGTCGCATTTGTCTAACATGGCTGCGTCCATGGCGAGGACCTGCTGTCATGTATCGCGGCATGGAGCGTGTATTCTGCGTAGACGAACGAGTCTCTGCCTCACACTCGGGTCTAAACTTCACTGTTCTTCACCGGCACACAACGGACTGCTCTTGTCTCTAAATAAACGCGGTGTCCTGAAGGACTCTTTCCCAGAAGACGCAGCTCAGGACCAGCTCCCTCGGTTGCTCCAGTCCGGTGCTCAGACCGTGTACTGCGGCTTTGACCCCACGGCCGACAGCCTCCACGTGGGCAACTTGCTCGCGATCATCGGCCTGCTGCACTTCCGTAGCGCCGGGCACCATGTCCTCGCCGTGCTCGGAGGGGCCACGGCGCAGATCGGAGACCCGAGCGGGAAAACGAGCGAGCGAGAGCGGATGCCCGCGGACGCTGTGGAGGCGAACACCCGCGGCATCCGCGAGAGCATCCAGCGGATCTTCACCAACCACGAGCTGCACTTTCAGGACACTTCCAGAAAGCTGGGCACGGTGAGCGTGCTGAACAACCTGAGCTGGTACAAGAACTGGCACGTGGTGGACTTTCTGTCGGAGGCCGGAAGGCACTTCAGGATGGGCACCATGCTCAGCCGCCACAGCGTGCAGTCCCGGCTGAAGAGCGCAGACGGTATGAGCCTGACAGAGTTCACCTACCAGGTGTTCCAAGCTTATGACTTCCACCACCTGAACCAAATATACGGCTGCAAGATTCAGCTCGGGGGCACCGACCAGCTGGGCAATTTGATGTCTGGCCATGAGTACATTCACAAGTAAATGTCCATCCTACTTAAACAAGAGTACAACGGGTCATATCAGCGGCAGGATCTCTGTTTTGTAAGGGCATCGTTCCAAAATGTCACCTAAGTCTTCAGAAAGCCCTGACTCCCACTATATATATATATATATATATATATATATATATATATATATTTTATTAATATATCTTACGACTTCTTCCCCCTTGAACCAAAAGTGAAAATGTTTATGTATCTACCACTATATTAATGAGACTGTCTATATACAAATATATCATAAATGGAAATGTATCCAAAATCCTCTATTAATAACCATAATGACATTTAGGACTGCATTTCGCTATTAAGCAGATCAGGCAAACTCTTCATAGATGTAAGTTTTAGTTAGAATTTGCTTGAAATCAAGCATTGTTTTGTAAATCAATAACACAATATAATCATATCATCCCTATTTGATTCCACTGAACATTGAATTATTCACCAATGTAGACCAATATCACTCAGTTTTTTTTTTTTAAATACCTACACCAGGCATGCAACACTTTGTTAATAAATCCTAATTCCTCTGCAGGGTGGGCGGTGAACAGGTGTACGGCCTGACCGTGCCGCTGGTGACCAGCTCTGCCGGGGACAAGCTGGGGAAGACGGCGGGCAACGCAGTATGGCTCAACCGAGACAAGACGTCTCCCTTTGAGCTCTACCAGTTCTTTCTCAGGCAGCCTGACGTCAGTGTGGAAAGGTGGGTGAAGATGAGGCCTGTTGATGAAAGATATGACCAGTGCAAGACCTGAAAGCGTCTTACAGTACATACTGTAAGTGTAGGTGTTCTGTGCACTGTAACAGGAGGCTGAGGTGTATTGCGTGTTTTTTTTTTTGTTTTTTTTCTGTAGGTACCTGAATCTGTTCACCTTCCTGCCTCTGGCGGAGGTGGAGAGGCTGATGGAGCAGCAGAGGGAGGACCCAGGTAAACGCCTCGCACACAAACGGCTGGCAGCAGAGGTGACGAAACTGGTGCACGGAAAGGAGGGCCTCGAGAGCGCAAAGAGGTCAGAACACGCTGCATGCGTTTGCACTGTATGAGGTATTTAATGATACTTTATTCAATACGGTTAAAGTTTTCTAAATGCTATGTTTTATTTAGGTTAACTGAGAAAGGAACTCCACTAGGGTCCTTGTCCTGTAGCTGGCCCTGACCTCCGACCTCCGTGCAGAAGTGTTAATCTACCTATTCAGACAAGGAAAGTCATACTGTGTGTTTTTGCTGCAGATGTACCAACGCACTGTACCACAGCAGCGTGCAGGCCTTGGAGGAAATGAGTGACGATGAGCTTCAGGAGCTCTTCAGGGAGGCACCGTTCCATGAGCTGCTGATGGAGCCGGGCACCACTGTGATCGACGCCTGTCGCAGGGTCAACGCCATCCCAGAGGGCCCCAGAGGGTAGGTGCTCGAGGTTAAAGCTTCGGCCCAAAAGAGTAACATCTGCGGTAGAAAATGCGCCGCAGTCAAACTTTGTTGAAACTCTGTGCTATAGTTGCTGATTTGTGCCTCTGACTGGATTCTTCTTTACCAGACAGTAGTTGATAAGAAATGAAACTACATCACCACAGTGTGCTTAAATATGAACGTTAAATGTCCAGGTGAACAGACTCTTACGAACAAATCCTTGTCTGTTTCATGTTACTTGTCAGCGTATATTCATGTAGAGCTGCAACTAAAGATTATTTATTCATCCGTCATTTGTTTTGCTATTAACCGTTTCTTCTCTAAAATATCAGAAAATAATTAAAAAAATGTCCCTCGCAAAGTTCCAAGAGGCTCATGTCCAAGAAACGAATGAGCACACCTCTGGTAAACACAAGATTTAGAAACGGGTCTTTCGATTACGTCACAGCCTGCAAAACAGCTCTGCAAGATGTTTGACTGTAGAATGTCGTCCCAACGTTCTGCGTAGCCGTGTGGACCGAATCGCCACAATGGGTGCCTGAGAGCTGGCTTGACAATCCCAAGTATGAAGCCTGTTGGGCTAAGGATCCTAAATGACAATACAAAAGCTGGATTCAAACTGTGTTTAAAATCGTTCCACATCTCCAACAAAGGGGGGAGACAGCAATATGCTGCACCGTAGACTTATCACAGCATCCTCTGCACCCGGTGTCACAAAGTCAAGTACGGTTTGAAAAATCTACAGAGAAGTCGGTTATGTAGAGGAGATGCTGTACTAACAGACCGTTGACATGTTTGTGTGCAGGTATCAGATGGTTTCAGAGGGAGCCGTGTGGATCAACCACCGGCGGACGGACAGACCAGAGCAACTGCTGATCCCCAAACTCCATATCCTGTTGAACGGACTCACCTTGCTCAGAGTGGGCAAAAGGAACTTCTACATCATCAAGTGGCTCACTGTCTGAGGCCCTCTGCTCTCGCAAGGGGACCAGTTCGACCAATGACAGACTGGCTGGAAAGGTAGGCGACCGGCAGCTGTCGGTGAGGAGACGTGGATGGACTGATGTTTTGGAACATACTGGGTTGGTGGCGTAGCGATTGCCTGTGGTTGTAAATATAAATATGCATGTGTACTGAATCCAAAGCTATGGTATTAAAAGGCGTTTGATATACAGATGTTGTCGCCTGCTGACTTTGTGCTGCTACAGAGAGCTTGGACAGCGGACACTAGAGGGCAGCATTGTCCCAGTCATGAAGGTGATGCTGTAGGCGCCCACAGCTGCACCACATATCCTGCTGTGACCCCATCGGTAAATAATTGCTCACAGTAAAATTAAATTGCATCATGTCTCGCAAATAGGTTTTAGTTCTATCTTAAGGAAATCCTGTTTTGTTTTTTTTTTGTTTTATTTAATGTGAACATGAGGCCAACATCTGTCTTGGTGTGGCAGGTTTTCCTGTCTTTAGTGGTGAAAGGTGTAAATTGTACCAGAAAGAAACAAACCAGGTTTTGGATAATTTCTGAAATTAACAAATCTTGCTTGTAGATTTGTCAGATTCCATAAATTTGATATTATCATTAGCAGAATATTTTTTTGCAATGTTGACATTGGTTTTCCACCACGGTACCGACTTCTTCTCACTGTGGTGTAAATAACTTAATAACTTTCAGCATGCAGGGCCTTTGCCTGTCATTCTTAGTTTTTTTTTCTTTTGTGATTTTATTTTTGCATTTGCAGACTTCTAAAAGTGAAGATGTGCGTAGCTTTCTATGTCTTGTATATCTGCTCATCTCTTTCTGTCCTGGGGGCTGGTGGACATGAGGACGGGGTCTGCTGTGTGCTGAACCTTGACTTACACTTCTAGCTCCAGAGAATTGGTGGAAACACCTTGCCATATGGTCACACAGTTACCCAATTTACAGATGTAATTTCCGGCCATTGCGTGATAGTTTTGGGGTATACCTACTGCAACAGAGGGCCGACATACTGGAGATTTACGCCATGTCTATTCAGAAATGTAATTTCTTTAAGGGTGGAATATTTATAAGCATTTCCATTTCACTGATTTTTATTAGCCTCCATAACTTATTTTTCTAAATGTTAATGCTTATTGTTTTGGCAGCCGTTTGACTTATTTTTTAAAATCTCTATACAAATGTGTATTTTATGATTTGTACATGTGTTTAAGTAGATGTATGTAGTTAGGTCTTTTTTAATTTAAAACAAAGACATGTAATGTCTAAAACTCTATCCTGAAGTTTAGCCTAGTTTTGCCATAAGGATGCAGTTTTTTAAAATTTCATTAAACATGCCTACCAGTGAATATTCACATGTTGGCAAAGATAATGTTTCTTTCAGTTTACTGTTGAAATAAACACAAAAGTAAACTAATGAGAACACATTTTCTTGGACAAAATTTAAAATGCATTATTTTCAAAAAGATTAGGTTGAACACTACTCAAAGTACTGATGTGCTGAAGCTGTTTTGAGGACATGCTGACTGTTTCAATTTTAATTTATAATACTTTTTGTTTCCAAATCAGTCTTAATTTAGAAGAAAAACTCTGATTTGGTGTAATATGCAGACGTGCTGGATGTTGCAAGCCTGCCGCAACTAGCTGGTCCACCTTAAGAGAAGTGGGCGGGTTTAAGCACATTGACCAATGAGCGGTCTTCTTTGCATTTAAATAGATCTGTGTGTCAATCACCCCCCCCCCCCCCCCCTCCCCCCTCCCCTCCCTAGTCAGGCTCCACTCGCAATCCCAAGTAACGCTACATCTCTCAATCGCCATATTGGGTACTGAGGTTTGTCCGCAATTGCTCTCACTACGGGACGAAATTAACAGAGCGGCTTCGGTTCCTGGGCACTTTGACTAGATGATCCGCGGAGACTACTTTCGGCTTCAAAAACACTGCGACCGTTACCGTTTCCAGCCCGAATTACGCATGGCATAAATCCTTTTTACGCTTGTTTTGGATCCAGCTCAGCGTCGAGGAGATACCCGTTGTTTTTGATCGGTGTGTGTGCTTTTTTTTTATCTCGTGAAAACTGGACGCTCCCGGCTGTTTGCAAAAATCCTGTTTTTCTTTTTTGGGGGGAAAATGTCAGATGTTCGACTATCAAACGGGAGCCCGACGTTGGAGCGGACGGACTCCCGGGTGTCGGATCACCCGAAACCGTCGGCTTGCAGGAGCCTCTTCGGCTTCGTGGATCACGAAGAGTTAAAGAGGGATTTAAAGGGACATTTGCGGGAGATGGAAGAGGCTGCCTCCGCCAAGTGGGGCTTCGACTTCGCCAATCACACGCCGCTGGCCAACGCCAGGCTCGAGTGGGAATTAGTGGATTGCAGAGACGTCCCGGGTTTCTACAACAAGCAGCCGCGGAGGGAGAAGGGCGTCTGCTCCGCCGGGAATAACAATGTGGATCTAAACGGGAATCATAGCTGTGTTGTGGTGGCTTCGAGCGAGGACACCGACCGCTCCGACGGACAGATGGAATGCACGGAACAGTGCACCGGACTGAGGAAAAGACCAGCGTGTCACGGTGAGTTACTGGTAGCAGTGACCGGTGCGTATGGCAATCACAGATCAGTTGTGTAACGCTCATTACGCACTGGAAATACTATCCTTTAATAGTGTGCAACATGTACATCCTAAAAGGATGTGCTAACATTCAGCACGAGCAATCTGACATAGTTTGATAGTTTTATTCTCAGTATTTGTTTTTAATAATCACTGCTGTCTTTGCTTTTTTTGCAGACCCCTCAACCCAAAATAAGAGATCACACAGCAGCTCAGATGAGGTGACTTGTCCGAGCCTGAGCCACTCTACAGAACGCACACCCAGAAAGACCAGTCCCAGGAGGCAGACGTGAGGACGAGCACGGTAAGGGGGCTTTGATAAAACTTTTTTTAATGTTTTTTTTTTAATGTGCTTCTGTGTGTAACTACAGTTAGCTGTATATTCGAGTCACACCCCCCCCCCCAACTATAGATGCAATTTAAACAAAACACACTTTAAAAAAACATCTTTATTTTAATATCCCAATGCTATCAGACGGTGTCCTTAATGCAACCCAATGTGCAGTGTAGTGTACATAATGATAATTCGTTTGGATTGAATTAACATGTCTGTCCAGGTCATTGAGTGTTGTAGTAACAGTGGTATGTTTGCACTCAAAAGTGTCTCGATTCAATAGGATCGATCCAAGAAGTCATGAGTGGCTTCGCTATTGCACTTTTTTTTTTTTTTTTTTTTTTTTTTTTTTTTTTTTTTTTTACTACAGCCGCTCGCTGGCTGAGTTTCCGACTAAACTGTAAACAACAAGTGTGCTGAACAACAGCGTAGTAGTAACACGTCAGCAGCCACTGCCCTCAGAGCAGGGACGGGAAGGGGCAGGTCTGTGTGTGTGTGTGTGTGTGTGTGTGTGTGTGTGTGTGTGTGGGGTGCACACACACACTTTGCACACTAATGTTACAACACACACATCTGTCTCTGCTGCCGGCGCAGAGTGTGTGCAGAAGAGCCAGGCAGCTTTCTGAAATCTAGTGCGCTTGTTGGCCAAAGCGGAGGGAGAACAGGCATGAAATCTGTCATTGTCCGTGGCAGGATGTGAACTGTTAAAGGCTGCAAGTGCAGGATAAAACACCTAAACGTGCCCCCTTTTTTTAGAATATATTTTAGTTTTTTTTAATTGGTAGAAAGTGTTTTGGGGGGATGGCTAACATTTTCCTTTAGTCCACTCACATATGTCTACAAAACATGGCGTTTTTGATGAAGAAGAAACACGAGTTTATGGTTCTCTGAAAAATATCAAGTCTTTGGCCTTATGATAGCCACCTTCTAAAAAATATTAATATAAATTAGAAGTGTAATATTCAAGTTGGTGCAAGTGCTGCTGTATAATCACACCATCTGCTATTTTTAAACCTATATGTTTTTGCAAAGTGTCATGAATTCCTGCATCACTTTAGTAACTCTGTGGAAGTTGCAATGCGGTTTTGTTTTTTTCGCACTGTATTTTTGGATACTGTCTTGTTGCGTTGATGATAATCCTCCCTGTTTGTCAAAGTACAAGAGGAAGTTCGTTTTTTTATGTTTAACTGAAAACTTTGCACAAAGAGTTCTGTCTATTCTCACTCATTGGCAAACGTTTTCTGCAAGTAATGCATGACAGTCAGTGTCTCAACCATGCCCGCTCTTATTTTGTTGTTTTTTTTCCATCTAATTTTCCCCCACAGAGCCAGAGATGCGTTTCCCCTTTCAAGTGGGAAAACCTCAGTGTTGGTCGACTTTGGAGGAGGAAGTACACAACATCAGAAACATATCAGCTCTCCTGAAGACGGGGGAGGACGCTGTTGAAGCACTGAATAGAAACACTAAAGTTGTGGCACTCAATTAAAAAGTTACTGCCTCTAAAAGCAGTCAATGTAGCAGTGTGCAATTAGGTTTGATTTCCTTTTTTGCTCTTTTTTTTTTTTATTTTTTTTACTACCTGTGTAAATAAATATGCATATTCTATTATATTTCTTTCCATATGTAGCACATAAGAAAACATTATGATTTGAACACCAATCCTTTATGTAAAAAGGTGTGAATTTTGATTTGACTTGAAGAATTGCAGTGTAGTTTGATACATGTTTCCAAAATGCTGTTCTGTTGGCTTTTTTTTTAATTTTATTTCCTGAAAAGCAGTGTGACTCTGACACAGTCCCACAATGCTACATTTAAAACAAAAATCATGGCTTCTTACAGTTTCTTACCAGTGTATCTTCACTCCGTCGCCTTCCTAACTCAGCAGTGAAGAACGGTACAAATGTGGCTCATCTGTTTATTTTTCCTTCCTCTGGTCACTTCAGTGTCACCAATTGCAGGTTCTCCTATAAGATCCATTTCCCACAGGAAATCCACACAGGAAAAAAAAAGACGTAATATTTCTGCTCGGGGTTTCCTTTTACATCATCCAATATTTATTTTTGAGGTGCTTTTAGCATCGGTTGGTTCCTGGAATATGATCAACTTTTTTTTTTTTTTTTCTCAAGTTCTCCTGCACACCTCAGCCACAATGTGGGGGTGTGTTTTTTGATTTGGAGTTGCGAGGTACTCAGATATTGAAGGACAAAGACCGTACAAACTGCACAGGTTGTGTTGTAAAAGTCATCCTCTCCTTGACTATAATCTTTTTGTTTCATCAGCCTTAATGCTCTCCAGAGAGGTTTTCTGAAAAGGGTTGAATGTCCTACAATACCAAATACGTGGTTGCTTCAGTATGGTTGCCGGAGCCGCCTGTGCCCCTTAATTGACTTCACATTTTTTGTGAAAACCTAGACTTAAATTTTCATTTGTTTGTACTTGTTTCACCAATGTTGTTAGCCTGCTGAGGATGCAAACGTGAGCATCTAAAAGCTTCCCTTTATTTGCCTAAAGTGTGGCTTATGTTCAAAGAGACCAGTGTACACCTGGATGGAGAGAGAGCAGCTTTTCTCAGAAATGCAGTCACCATGCCTGTGTATTTGTGTTCAACTTTGCAATGTACCTATGTACATAATTTTGTAAAAACACTGAGAAATTATACTAACTTATTTATGTCAAGCTTTTTTTTTTATGTAGAATAAAAAAAAAAAATGGGTTTTTGATTACGGTTATCCAAAGTGGCATTTACTTTATTATAATTGTCTTATTTTGTAAAAGCATATTTTTGGTAGTTTTTTTTTTTTTCTTATCAATAAGGTTGCAAACTGAGCCTGATAAAATATTTGATGTGCATTTTGTAATGTGTGGTTATGAAATGTGTTGCAATCAATTAAAAGAGAAAATTCAATCTATCTGACTTTTGGTTGCTTTTTAAAGCTGCTCGCAACTTGTTTGGTTTAATCTATTAAAACTTTGTATTGGCCAAGCTAACCCTGTGGGGAAAAACCCAATGCAGAAAATACGTAACTGCAGAAAAAATATATCATCAAAATGTAACAATATTAAAGTCCAAAACACACGTTTGGAAGCAGCTGTGAGTACATTGCTGTGCTTGGAGGAATCCTGGTACAATGTAGTGACGCTCCCAATATGAATCTGCCAGTTATTTGAGCGGGCTGATGATTGACACCTTGGTCATCCAATGAAAAAGAGTGTGGAAAGCAGACCACTTGTTGCAGCCAGTCATATTTCGTGACTTATGTGAATGGCTTCTGTGGAAAATAAATGTAAGCGCTTTGAGCTCAGAATACGAACCTCAACCGTAAGGTGAAACACTGCAACTTGAATTATTTTTTTACTTGTTCACTGGCCTCAGTAGCATCTTTAACTGTGTGTGTGTGTGTGTGTGTGTGAGTGTGTGTGAGTGAGTGAGTGTGTGAGTGAGAGAAGAGCAAGATACACTGTTTCCCTTTTAAATCTTTTGCAGTGTGTTTTAAATTATGATATATTTTATTATTATATATCTTAATTTTTGAATTGTTTCTACTATTAATACGATTATCACATTATTTTTATTTTTTGATGAAAAAGTGTTTGTAGAATGTGCTATGGTTAGTAGTGAACATGGGAAGTGTATATTTGTACCTCTTATTTAAATCTAAAATTGGGAATTAATGATAAAAAAATCCATCTTCTATTTCAAATATGTTAATATAATTATTGATTTTGTTGTAATATTTAGTGATTTAGGCTCATATTATAAAACTGAAAAAAACCTTTTTAAATAGAAACCCAAACTTGTAGTCACTTACCTGCTGAAACAAAAGCATGTTTGCTCTAATGGAACTTGTAAAATTGTTAAAATCTTTTGTTTTATTTTACATATGAATTTCTGGTCATTGTGAACATGCCAACAGCAGAGCCCTACTCCGAGACGCTCTTTGACCTGAAGTAACTCCACTTCACATGTCTCGGTTTCTGTCATAGCACATCTTCTGCTGTAAAACCCCAAATAATGCTTTCACTGCACGGCACCTTGCTTCCTCCCTGTACCACCGACACAGGAAGACACCTGCAGCAGCGCTGGTCCTGAAGTGTGCAGGTGGGTAACCTCAGCTCAGCCGTCCACCCCCACTCTGAGCCCGGCCCATTGTCCCTGTGTGTGGGCTTTTGTGTGAAGGGCCATTGTGAGGGTCCGGGGCCGGTCACTGTTGTGTCTGGGGCTTCTCTGCTCAGACAAAGAGCCCGTCTAGGAGCCTCCACCCTGCCCAAACAGAAGACTGACTGACTGACTGGGTGTCTGGGTGTCTGACTGACTGCTTGAGGTGGCTCTCTGGCTGACTAACTGACTGAACGGCTGACTGGGTGTCTGTTTGGTTGACTGATTGATCGGATGGAGACAGAAAAGGGCGAAGTGTGTGTTCCAGCCAGCATGCAATATACCACAGTGTTGACAATTTTTGGATAATAAGCGTTCAATACAAATATTTTTTTTTCTAATTGTAAAAATTATATAATGATATTGCTTTTGAATGTAGTATTTTTTGTGTAATTATAACAATTACTGTGTTTTTTTTTACAATAAAAATGTGTGTGTTTGAGAAAAGTGTGTGTGTGTGTGTGTGGTTGAGTTGGAGAATTGCATGTCTGCAGGGAGCCTTGCATGCTGCAGGTACAGCATATTAACAAAGCATACTTTGTTTTATCTATTCAGTGAGCACGTGCAGTGGTGTCAACAACCTGTTATTACTCATGTTCAACACGACTATTATCGTATTTCTTCAGGCAGTGGGAGGTGCAATCCCATCACACTGATGTAATAATTACAAACAGTTCCTGCAAAATGTTTTATTGTTTGTCAGAGTCTGACAGATGTCCTTATTAATTACTTTTTTTTTTTTGCTGGATTCTATATGGAAAGTTAAATAGCATTCATCATATCTTTCTGTCCTGCACATGCATTGACAGATAATGCCTTATCATTCCATTCTCTTCAAGTGGCTCATCGGCACCGAGTCATTGCTGAGCAGCTCCTTGTAGATCATGTCTGCTTAAACTAAACTGTGTATTGTAAGCACCACATTTCAATAGGGTCAGTTATTCAGCAGGGCATTGATACAGTATGATGCAACAGTGCCTCTCCTTGCATAAGAAACACCTTTTTCTTTGCTGTCACAGCAGGAATGTCCCTGAAAGCATTCCTGTAACACTCCAACACTCCATCGCAGCCACCCAAACACGACCACAAGTGAGCCCGAGGAAATTCCAGTGAGCCAGTCAATCAGAGACGTAGAAGGCAACGTAGAATGTGCCAAGAATTCACACTTCCTTGCTGTATCAACAGTAACAGGTTATCTTTTCCTGTTAACCGCCCCGGCACTTAATATAAAGTCACAAGTTCCTCCCCGTGTTTCCTGCCCAGGCCACAACCCACGTCACCAAGTTATTCCCTTGGCACCCCGCGCTCTGAATGTGGGGAAAGCAAGTGCCCACAAACAAACCCCTAACATCTCTCTCTCTCTCTCTCTCTCTCTCTCTCTCTCTCTCTCTCTCTCT